TAGGATAGGATAGGATAGGATAGGATAGGATAGGATAGGATAGGATAGGGTAGGGTAGGGTAGGGTAGGGTAGGGTAGGGTAGGGTAGGGTGGGGTGGGACAGGATGGGATAGGATACAGGACTGATGAGGCAGGAGATATCTAGCACTCCAGCAGTTAAGAACACACAGCAGAATCTCCTGTGTCTTGGAGGTGGCTGTGGACATGATGGCACAAAGCCCCTTGTATAACCTGACTGGGCAGCTCTGCTTTGCTTGCACAGAGGCCGTTCCAGCCCTTTCCATCTCATTGTTCGATTTTCATCCTCTAGCTGGTGTGTGCTGGTGTGTGCTGGTGGCCAGGTCATCCCTTTTGCTCTACTGCTGGTGTTGCCGCTTGATGGAGAGCTCTGCATCAGCTCCTTGTGCCCTGAGAGGCTACATCCATTATAGCCACAGCGTGCCATGAGGATGGTGGGTCTCCCACAGCTCTCCTCTGACCTTTCCCATGTCAGTTTGAACTCTCTGAAAGGCAGGTATGTCCTGGGCTCTTGAGGCCTCCATGGCACTAACTCATGGCCTAGAAAGTGGGCAAGAACATTCATTTCAGCAGAGAATGAGATAGGTCTCATGTCTGCCCCTCTCTCCAGCCAGGTCCCTGCTGGATAGCTTCTGTCTTTTTCCATCTCACTTCAAACAGTCTTCATGCACCTTACTTAAACATCAGCAGCAAGGCTCCATGGTCTCTGCTCCAGCTGGTGGTTTCCCAGGAGATCCTGTTGTCTGCACCAGAGTGAGGGAGTAGGAAAAGTCCCTTTCCACCACTTCCTAAAGGAAGGCTGCATGGTTCTGCCATGCCCATGGAATGAACCTGCTTAGTGCTCTGTGCTTGGGGAGCTCTTTACATTTCCTCCAATTTCCTGCCCTACATCCATGATCCTTTCTCACTCAAAGTCCACCTGCAGCCAGGGCAAACATGGAGCTGGTGTTTGAGGGCCACGGTGAAAGTCCTTTCCAATTTTAGTGGAGTCAAGGGAAGCAAATAGGGAATAAAACAGATCCCTTCATCTTCAATAGCACCAGGGTGAGATGGGGATGACAGGTGTCCAAACCTCCTGTCCTAGCCTCAGGAACGTGAGTAGCATAGGAAGATCCATCCACAACACACCCTTCCCCAAAATCAGTGTCTACCCCTAGGCAATGCTCCTGGGCTCCAGCAAGCCCACCCAGGGGTCTGCAAGACTCACAGAGACAGGTAGAAGGGATTTGTGACCTGGGCTATGCATAATGCAGCTCAATTTCCCGACTTTGCCACAAATAAAGTGAGAAATCTCTTTATTTGGTTTAAATAAATAAAGCCAATGCTCTTTCTCCATGGCAGAGAGCAGAGACCTGCACAGGAGGTGCCTGGACAGGGAAGGGGAAAGGGAAAGGGAAGGGGAAGGGGAAGGGGAAGGGGAAGGGGAAGGGGAAGGGGAAGG